GGAGGGAGGAGGGAGGAGGGAGGTGTGAGAATGTTTCGTAAGTGGGGGGTGGGAGAGGAGGACCTTGAGGAAACGCCGAGCGTCTTCTCCCAGCTCAGCGAGGGTGTCGAGATGAGAGATGAGGATGGGGGTGTAGCCGTAGGGAACATCCTCCAGACCGAAAACCTGCCAAAGGATGAGCGACCCATTCCTCTTCCTCTCCCTTTCCCTCTTCCTCTCCCTTTCCCTCTTCCTCTCCCTGCCCCTCTTCCTCTTCCTCTTCCTCTTCCTCTTCCTCTTCCTCCTTCGTTGTCCTCCTCGCTGTCCTTGTCCTCCTCTCCCTTCTTCTCCTTGTCCTCGTCCCAGCTGTTTTCATTCTCATATTTACAGTTCCATCCTCCTGTTCCTGCTCACTTTCCTCGTCTCCTTCCACTCTCCATCCCTCGGTGAAAGTTCCTCCACCTCCTCCTCTCTCCTACGTTAAGCTCGATGCCACTCTGTCTTGCAATCACTCCTTCCCACGGCATGAAAACCCATGTAGCGTCGTAGACCTGAAGCACAAGCTCACATTGAAGGAGGAAGAGGTGTAGGAGGAAGTTGAGGAGGACGAAGAAGTTGAGGAGGAGGAGGAGGAGGAGGAGGAGGCGAAAGTTGAGGAGGAGAAGGAGGAGGAGGAGAAGGAGGAAGAGGTGTAGGAGGAAGAGGAGGAGGAAGAGGAGGAGAAGTAGTAGTAGTAGTAGGAGGAGGAGGAGGAAGGAAAAAGGAGGAGGCGGAGGAGGAAGCGAAAGACCTCAGGATGTTGAACAAGGGTGTTGAAGATTCCGAGTCCATGTTCACCATGCCTCACTTCCTCCACCTGTAGAGCTTTGAAAGAACTGCTAAGAGAGTAAAGGAGGGGCGAGGGTGAGGGAGAGGGAGAGGGAGAGGAAGAGAGAGAGGGAGAGGGAGTGGGAGAGAGGGGAGGTATAGACAAGACAGGACCCAAGAGAGGAGAGGACAGGATCGGAGTCTACCTCTCCCTTCCCGCCATCATCGCAAATCAGCTGCCGCACGATATCCATTTCTGCAAGCTGCACATCAGAGGAAGAGTGAAAGATCCTTTCCTGTCACCGAATCTCCCTTCGTAGGACGCGTACTTCCGTCCATCCAGCTTTGCAGGCCTGTCCACTCCACTCGACTGCAGGAGAAGATCAGTGAAGTGCAGGAAAGAGGAGGAGAAAGGCAGGGCAGGAGAGGAGAGGAAGGACGAGAATGACACGAGGGCGAGGAAGAGCACGAGGGAGAGGGAGAGAGAACTTGATCAAGAGGAGGTCGGAGGGCGAATAGAATGATAGCGCCTGAAAAGTCTCAATCTAAAGACTGTCCTTCCTTTCTCCTTTACAGCAATCACCGTCACAGCCACTGCCGCCTTAGCTTCTGTCTCCTTTCTCCTCGCCTCACATCTCCTGTTTCCCCTTTCTCTCCTCATCTCCCTTCTTTCTTCTCTCCCCTTTCTCTCCCTTTCCTCTCCTCCCTTCTCCTCTGCCTCCTCTCTCTCCCTCAACCTCTCCCCACCTTCAATGTGACAATCGCCGAGGTTTGCTGCTGCAGGATCGCAGCCACAGCCACGATCCTCGACGCTCCCGCCCCTCCTTCGCCATGTGCATGGCAGCTGATAACAGTCTCCGACGGGCAGACCCCAAAGTGCGCCGTCCTCTCCTCGACCCTTCCCACAGGAACACATCATCGTCGTCTCAGCACAACCATGGAGCAACGCACTACCTCCTCCTCGGCGTCTTGGCGTAAGAGTCAGCATCCGGGGAGATCGCGTCCACCTGGACATGGGCGTCAGTTGCTACCTGGACCCTCGACAGCTCGCTGCCTGCAGGTTGGCCTTGTCGTAGAGCCCTAGGGACTGAGCAACAAAGATGCCTGCGGATAGTTTAGAAGCGAGTGAGAGGGAGAGCGGGAGAGAGGAAGAGCGGGAGAGAGGAAGAGAGGAAGAGAGGAAGAGAGGAAAAGAGGAAGAGGAGGAGAGAGGAAGAAGAGGAGAGAGGAAGAAGAGGAGGGAGGACGAAGAGGAAAGTGGACACGGCGAGGGAGGGAAGGGAAGTGAGGGACGAGGAGGAGTAAGGCAGCAAAACAAGGAAATGGGAGGATGAGAGCAGAGAGATTCCGGACATAGTGAGAGGATCAGGAAAGGACATGTCACCGATGTGATTAGTGTTTGGAGTCCAATCAAGTGCCACGACGATGTTTGTCTTGACTACCATGTTCTGCCAGGGACAGCTGTTCAATCTCTTCTACAACCTTCAACCAGAGAGATATCATTGCGGTAATTTTGAGCATACATCATACAGACACATACAAACTTCATCTCTCAACAGCGGCAGATGTACTCTTGCTCCGAAACTCTTGCTTCGTGGACACTTTGTCATGGGATCCAGGGCGTTGCTCTTACATTACTATATCTCATGTGCTCTTCTTCTCCTCTACACTTCCTGTCTTTCTCTCTGCTGTCTTTGCTGCATCTTATTCCTCCTCACCATCTCTCCTCCTCCTCCTCCTCCTCCTCCTCCCTCCTCCCTCCTCCCCTCGACCATCGTAGTTTGCGGATCATTGGCCTCCACAGAGGACTACCGGTACATTCTTGTAATTTTCCCCTTCTTTGCTGGGGTGGGGGAATAGATCAGGTCGTTAGTTGGATGTCCCGGAGTCTCTAGTGACGGACTGGCCGCCCTGTCACTCAGCCCGGCGGGCCCGGCGGCCCGGCCGCGGGCCGTTCGGATTGAAGCAAGGAGGAAGGGTTGTCCTGAGTCTCTGTCTTCACTCTCATCGCATGGCCTCAGTGCGACTGTGTCAGGGTCAACTTGGCGGCTGGCCGGGAAGACTCTCATGATGGCCATTACTGACCGTCCGACGGTTTGCTCGTACTACGGCGTAGCAGAACCAACAAGCGAACGCCATGCAGTCAGTGTTCAACACCGGGGTGGAAACTTACTTTTTGTTAAGTGAATTTAACTTGATAATATGATAACCTGACTTGACTAGCATAACATGTCATATAGACCTTTTCCTTTCACTGCGTCTTGTGAGGTGGCGGCAAATTCACGCCTGAGGAGCAAGGAACCCAATGCCTGCTCCCAGGTAGAGGGGCTCCCACATGGGAGGGGTGAACTGGTTGCGATCCTGAGAAGAGCGTCAAGGATTCGATCAAGAATAAGGAGGGGGGAGGGGAAGAGAAGGGAGGTAGGGAGAGGAGGAGGATGAGGAGGATGAGGACGGATGAAGGGGACGGATACGGAACGAGGTAAGGCAGTGAAGGAGAGGAGGAGAGATGGGGGAGGAGGAGGAGCAGGGTTAGAGGAGGAACCTTCTTGTCAATCCAAAGATGATCAAGAGGAAGAGAATCTTGGGAGTTCTTGGCTACTGCATACTCAAGTTGTCGCTGCAAGAACTCGTCCCCTGGAGGTGAAGCTCAGACGCTGCGAGGGAGGGGGAGGAAAGACAAGGGGAGGGGAAGCAGGCAGTGGAGGGAGAGGAGAGAAGGAGGCGGGGAAGAGAAACAGACGGAAGACGGCAGAAGAGGGTAGAGCAAGGAGGGGGGAAAGGAAGGAGGAAGAGCAACAGGTGGGACCTTTCTCAGTAACGGTGACTCCCTCCCTTCCTACGTTGCGAACCCGCGAGAGAGCCGGGCCAATCATCATGGGAGGCATCTGCCCGGTCTGATGTGTTTGCCGTGAGATGTGCTGCCGAAGGAAGAGGATGGAGGATGGAGGAGGATGGACCAGGGAGGGAGAGAAGGAGGCGGATGATAGTGTGGTGGGAGGAGGGAGGAGAGAGAGAAAGATGAGGAGAGGAGGGGAGGGGGGGGGAGGGGAGGGGAGGGAGGAGGAGGAGGAGGAGGAGGAGATTAAATGGGTTTACCTGTGCGAGATGGAATAAAGACCAGTCCCAACCATCAGCAAACAAGTCAAAGTTGCTGTTCTTGATTGCAAGGTATCTGGTGCAAACGATCAGCAGATGTAGAACGTGAAGAGGGAGATCAATAGAATCTCAATGAGAGAGAGGCTAAAAAAGAAAACCGGGAAGAGAGGGGAAGAAGGAAGGCGAGCAGATTGAGGCGGAACAGGCAGCCAAGAAAGAGGAAGAGGAGGAAAGAAGGATTGAGGGAGGCAGAAACACTGAGGACCAGCAGGGAGGGCAAGGGAGGAGGGAGGATACTGACGTGGATCGGTTGAAGGCGATGCCGGTGTTGATCACCGAGTGACTGCGGCAGACTTTCGTCCCGTCCTCATCATCGGAGTGCATGCAAGCCCAGCGCAGAGTCACCCCCCAGCACCTTGGGCAGTGATGCTGCTTGAGGTAGACCAGGTGGCTGAGCAAGTCCAGGTAGTCGGACGAGACCACGTGATCTTCCTCGAGCAGAGCGATGTCTCCCTTCCATCCTCTCGTCTCGGCAATGTTGTTCCACAGCATGTCCTGCAACCAGATCCAGTGGAGCTGCGAGTTGATGAGTCAGAGGGGAGAGAGAAGGGGAGAGGAGGTGAAGGGGGGGGAGAGAAGGGGATAGGATGGAAAGAGAGAGGAGATGAGTTGAGTGGAGGGATAGGAAAATGGAAGGGGAGGGGAAGAGATGAGATGAGATGAGATGAGATGAGATGAGATGAGATGAGATGAGATGAGATGAGATGAGATGAGATGAGATGAGATGAGATGAGATGAGATGAGATGAGAGAGGGAGGGGGAGGAGAAAAGAGAAGATGAAGATGGCAAGGGGATCAGGAGGGTTGTTCAAGCTCGACCACAATTACCTTGATGGCGAGGAGAGGCTGATTCTTGAGCAGGTCCTCGTTGACAGGGTGGAAAATGATGCGGAAGGGGCAAAGTCGATGCTCAAGGCAATGTCCAGCATCTCCTCCTTGACGCTGTCCATCGAGATGACAATCGCCGCAACCTTGCGGATGTTGTGGACCGCCTGCAGGCTCCTGACAACCTGCAGGAAGTACTGCGGTCGCTCGTTGACGTACATGGCGATCGGGAGCATCGGCTCCTCCTCCTGCTGCAGGCCCAGCAGCGGGCCGTGCTGGTTCCAGGCTTCCTGGAGCGTCGAGAGCACCTTCCCGATGCTGTGGCAGGGCAGCTTGCCATCACTGGTGCTGGAGTCCATGAACTCTGCGATGGTGTCAGAGGTGACGTCGCCCTGGGGTTGGAAGCGGAAGCAGTGGGCGACCTCCTCCGGGAAGGAGAGGTTGTAGCGGATCATGAGCTTAGAGAGTATGTTGATCTTGTCGATCCAACCCGCCCTCGCCGTCCCCTCCGACCGCTGCTGGAGGTTGTCCTGACGCTCCTGGCTCGACAGCAACTGATCGTGCAGACCGTCCGTGGACGCTTCGCCCGTCATGTACTTGCCCATGTTGGAGATCAAGAAGCCTCGATCGGGGTATCGTCCCAGCAGGCGGACGTAGCCCTCGGTCACGACCTTGACCAGCTCCTCGAACTTCCGCACTTCACTGGCGGGGAGCGAAGGGTTGACCCCCGCCAGCTCCATCTCAGTCTGCGCGTACATCTCAAGAGGGAAAGTCGTGCAGGGAACGCTGGAGTTGTCGTCGCACCCACTCCTGTCGCACCATCGCCCGTTCCAGTAGGGGTTCTCAGTGAAGCGAGCGTCGGAGCACTCCTGATACCCTCTCTTCAACGTCTCCACGATGGAAAGTGCCTTCCTCCTCAGCCCTGCCCCGTTGACAAACTCATCTGATTTCTCCAGCTCGTTCTGCAGCTGGCTCTCAGTGAACTTCCCCAGGACGAGCTGCCGCGAGTACGCCGTCAGCCCGCCGAGGTCCGGGTGCCGTCCCAGCACTTTGAGGTACATCATCCGGACGATGGAGCGGGCGCTGTCGCAGACAGAAAGTCCGTCTCTGAGGCAGAGGGTCTTGTACTCCTCCGACTCCTTGAGAATCTTGCGGAGCGTCGTGGTATGGAAACCATCGTGCAGCATGTCCGTGTACCTGCGGAGTGCTACCGGGTCTGCGGGACGTAGCAGCACTTCGTGGAACACGTTGTCAACCGCCTTCTTGCTGTTGGCCGTGCAGAATGCCGCTGCGCACTTGATCCTGTACTCCTTGGTGGAGTGCAGGTACTGTACAAGGTACTTGAAATCCTTCCCTTGTTGCAGCAGGGCCACGAGCGAGTCCTCCTCCTGCTCCGAGGGATCCCGCTCCAGCACCCACGAGAAAGCATCGTCTACCAGGGACCTCAGGGACTTTTCAACAGACTGCTGGATCTTGTCTCTGACGTTCTGCAGCTGGGACTGCAGCAGGTCGGAGTAAATGACCTCAACTGACGACTTCTCTGATGACGTGGCATTGTCGCACCACCGCCAGTCCTTGGGTGCGCAAGCATATGAGCCAGACTTGTTGCAAACACCAACATCCTGGTCCTTGGGAATGAGCTCCAAATCCGGATCCTCTACGAGCGAATGGAACAGTCCGCAGAGCAGCGGCACGTTCACGTCGGTGTCAAGGACCAGGTAGCTCATCATATGCCTTGAGAGCTCGAACTTCACCATCTCGAGATTCTTGTCGCCGACAACTTCAGTTGAGTGCATCTCTGCTGCACATGAAGATAACTCGAGCCACCGGTTGATCTTGTGCATGTTCAGATGCCTCTGGAGGTACTTGAATATCAGGGAGCACTGGTTGCTGTCGACTATCCTGTTGATCCCTTCCAACTCGTTCATGGGATCGCAATTGACTCCAGCCTGTGAGAACAAAGTCAGTGAAAGGAAAAGTGATGAGAAAGTCCTTTACAAAGCTCAATATGGAACAAAATGAAGCATTCTCCAATGGCTTGAAAGTTGTCTTTTCGTCTTCAAAAAGCACGTAGGGCCCGTAGAGGCTTTCATACGTCCTCCCTGACCCCAACAAATCAGATACATCTACACTCACTCATGTTTGGGACCCTCACCTATCAGGTAGCGAAAGTCGAACCAGAGTCCATTGCAAACATCCTTCTCAATGTCTTGCAACAGATTCCTTGCGTCTGACCTCCGCACCCATGTCGTCATGGATTTCACTCTCACTCCCGATTGGCACAGCGTCAGCAGTACCAGCAGGATAAAAAAGCGCCAGGAGGGCATCGGAAACCTCACCGGCCTATCGATCATGGCTGGTGAATCGTCGTCAAAATCGCTGTGCTATTCCCGTTCCTCCTGCTACTACCTCGGCCTCAGCGTCTTGTCCCTCCCCAAGTCCCTGCCTTTGCCCTGGTATGTGGTTCTGCTTCTTCCTTGAAGCTCGCTGTCTCCCTCCAACCAGAACGATCGACGCAGGGGAGGAGCTTGGCTTGCCGTCAGTACCCCATCCTCCCTCCGCCCATTAGCGATTTTTGTTTACCCCAGTAGTGTGCGGATCTGGCAACTACCGCCCATATTTCACTCAACACAAGTTTACTACAGGAACTCGCGCATCCCCCTCATACACGCGCCAGGCATTTCCGGGCCGGACTTGACCGTTACGACGGCCCAGTTCGGAGGCCTCGGCAGATCCCGGGCGACTCCGACGGGCTGACTTTGAGTAAAGCTGACTCGGAGGGCCGCGAGCCGCGGCCAACTTCCGGCGGTCGAGGGCCGGCCGGCCGGCGGATACCCGGCCCGTACGGAGCCTCCGATCACCGGACTTGGCCCGGCCGGGCGGTGGGGGGCCCGGTGTGGGGGGCCCGGTGTCACTCATTAAGTTACGGTAATGTTGGACTTGCGTGGCTTCCGTACGGTAGTGACAAGACATGGTATATTTGTATATTGTGTGTTTCATTCATGATGGCTGCCATGGAAATACAGTATCCTATCCCCCTTCGAGGCTCTTCCGATCAATGTTCCGAGGCTCAGTCTCATGCTGAAATCTTGACAGTGAAGGGCTCGAGGTGCTCACCTGACGACGCCACCGCTGGCTGATTACCGTCACTGTGTGCGGCCGTGCTAGCAGCTCCGAGGGACTTCCGGACCCCTAGGGCGATCTATCGAGCATGTCAGGTGCAGCAGAGGCTTGACTTGCTTCAAACTTGGGAGGAGTAGTAGGAGGCGTTGTAGATGGGGCCGTCGAGGAACTCAAGGATCTTGTGATTGTCAGCTGCGACCTCTATATCCTGCGTTGACGCCTTCACCTCCTCCCCCATCCACACCAGGCAGGCAGTACTTGCGCAGGGAGCCCGCAAGCCCTTGCTTCTAGGATAACTCTCTCTCCTCCTCCCAGCTCATTGGCCGCCATCAGCAGCTTCTCGGTGTTCCTGTCGCGAGGTAAGCTCCTTCCTCTGAAGAGAGCAGCGCAAGGCTAGCGAGCACATGTAGAGCAGGCACATCTTGGATGGGTGCAGATTCTGCCAGACGGCAACACCCCCGGAGAATCTGCAAGCACGAGAGCATCAGCAGCAACATCTATTTCCTCGTTTGCAGATCACAGTGCCGAGATCACTTCGCTCGACTCTTGCGGCCTCCACCCATACCCCACTACCAGCCTGCTGCCGTTCTTGTCCTGACCGTCACATCACAATCATCCTTCCATCCATAGGGTGGAGGAGCAACCAGGATGTTTTCATGTCTCTTCCACGGCGCGAAGATACCAACGCTGACGTAGTCGAAGAGTTTTGGTCCCCCGCTCCTCTGGTTCCCTGCAGGCATGTCATCACCGGAGGGGAGCCCTCGCCGTCCACCTGAGGCTCTGAACGTCTTTCCTGCATCCACACCGAAGGCATGGATCTGAGAGAGCTTCACCAACATGACCGCAGGACGAACGGTCAGGTCAAGTGTCGTTCACCGCCAGTGGATGGTGCGAGAAAGTCCCTCTCAACCAGAGCCTGACGATGGGAGGGATCAGAGGGGAAGAGAACGGAACTTCATCTTTCACTTGTCGTAGTAGATGACGTCATAGACCAGTGATATCGGCTCTCCAGTCTCCTGTCCTCAGGTCATCCCGAGTTGCTGGGCCCACGCGCTACGCGAACCTCGTCGGGAGGCGGAGCGCTCGAGCACGCGGGAAACAGTCCTGCCTGCAAGGGCATCTCATCAGCAACAACTACATGCGACAATCGTGTTGTTCTTTTCCTTCATCGACTTGGGCTTCAAACGCAGTATCCTCGATCGCATGTACTTGTCTTGGATCCCGTCACGCCCCGTGAGCAGCGGGGAACCCTGACTTACCCACAGGTGTGTGCCAGCAGCCCTTGGCAAAGATGAAGGAGAATCGCTTTCTGGATATCTCCTGCTCTCCATACACGAGCGTCAAGTCAGGAGCAAGGGCAGGAGCTTCTTCACCTGCTCTAGAGTAGGTCGGACCTGTTCGTCAGCTATGTTGAAACGATGGACAATCATGGCATGTTCTTGCTCCAGCAGCTCCAGGGCTCGACGAAACCCTGATGGTAGAAAAAGAGAATGAGAAAGTCTCAAGTGCGCAGTAAGTTTGACGGGCATGCCGGGATCATGCCAGTATGGTGATCTTGACAGTTCTGTATTGCTGTTTAGAATGCTCAGAGGCGTCTTGAGGAAAATGTCACAATCTGCGAGATGGACCTGTCTGGGATATAATAAAACACAAACGCAATGTCGATCTTCTCGTTCCCGCAGCTCTCTGTGGATAGCCTGCCCTATCGTCATCCGACAAACCCTCTCCATCAGACGAGGAGTGAGCGAGACTGTGGGGAGAAGCAGGAAGATCGGCGGAGGGATCACAGAAAGGAAGAGGAGGTTTCAAGATGATTCGAACATGATAGCATCAAGACTTCACCCTGTCATGATCGCAAACGCCCATAGGATTGCCATTCTCATCGCCGCCTCCCCTGCCATTTCTTCTTCTTCAGGGTTTCCCACCCTACCCCAGGATTCCAAAGTACCCCCATCATTGCGGTCATATAAGGGGGTACAATCTGAAATTGAATAGTCAGGAGGTATGGTGGGTGGTAGGGTAGTCGGTTGAAAAAATTGGAGGGAAAGACGGGCCAATAATGCGGAGGATGGAGAGAGAGAGCGAGGAGAGAGGAGGGAGGAGAGAGGAGGGAGGAGAGAGGAGGGAGGAGAGAGGAGAAACGGGAAAGCGGGGAAGGGAGGAGAAAGAAACGGGGCAAAGAAACAAGGCAAGAGGATAGGCCAGGATGTAATTTAGTGCAGAGACAAGTTCGTAGAGAAGAAAGCATGAAGGAGTTAACTTTGACCAGCGGTTGTGAAAAGGGACGGAGATGAAGTAGGCTGATTTACAGAGCAGTCAGAAGGTAGAAGCTCAGGAGATCTCTATGAGGATAACTTCTCGGCACATGCGATGACTGCCCCGCCATTTTCTCAATTCTCCTCTCATCTCTTGTGCGCAGGAAGGTCGTGCAAGTGATGTGTTGATCCGCTACCAGCAAGTTGGGATTGTAGAGGTCTTGAAGACAACCTGAGAATTCAGCAAACCAGCAATGTTCTGCGTTCACACCCACCCCGTCAAGATTCGTTTTGTTGCTCCGTTCTTCTCCTCTGCTACCTTGTTCGTGTTCCTTGCGCATGTGTCCGTGATCATCTTCGGATTTCTGATAGCCTACTTCTCGCACGGTGAGGAGAGAGGATGGAGGGGGGGGAGGGGGGGGGGGCGAGCCAGTCCAAATGTCCTGTTGCTGAGCAGCGCAAGCAGGATTGTGGTTGAAGGAGAGCTTCTACAGGGAGCAACCCATCGTGTCTTACAGGGATCAGTACTTCCTGAAGCTGATGGGGACCAATTCAACGTCTGGTAAACCCTTCGAGCTCAAGTACAGGTGTGAGACGCTGGGAGCAAGAGGAGGAGGAGGAGGAGGACAAGGAGGATTTCGAGCTGACTTTTGCCCGCCTTCAGCTCCTTTGAGCAGATCAATCTCATCAACAACGATGTGTTGAGGTGAGTTGTTAGTAGCCTTTTCCTTGAATGCAACTCGGGGAGCTGCCCGTGCAGAACGAGTGCTATCTTCTGTTTTTGTTGCCCCTTGTAGCCCGATCCCCTGTCCTTCGATCACCAGCTCCTCATCTCTTCTTTGATTTTTCCATGCTCTGCCCTTTGATGCTGTTCCCTGCTAACGACCATCTCCTTCGTCTTCTCTTCGTCTTACTCGTCCCTCCATGTTCTCTTCCTCCTCGTTGCCATCTTCATGGTATCCTAGAATGACATTCTCCTCTTTGACATCCTCCTCTCATTCTCTTTCGCTGTCTTGGTCTTCCACTCGTCACTCCCCAGGCTTGTCGTGACCGTTCTCGTCAGGTATCCCGACATTCGTGTTCGGCATGAAGACATCAACGGCGACGGTATCACCGACCAGTTTCTACTCTCTGCCACGTTCCCCGTCGTGGAGGAGGAGCAGGTTCAACGGGTAGAAGGGATCTTCATGTTCAGTTACATGCTGAGGAACCGCGTGAGGCTCAACGTGGAGGCTCCTGTGCTGCTGTCGCACACGGGGGGAGTGGCCGGGCGAGAACTCTTCGTGTCTGGGAGGTGAGAAGAGGAGAGGAGAGAGGGGGAGGGGGATAGGGAGGGAGAAGAAGGAGAGTTCGAGGGGAACAAAGGGGAGGGGAGGGAGGGAATGTGGATGGAGGGTAAAGTTTGCAACGGGAGAGTGAAGGCTGAGGGTTGAGGGAGGGAAAGCGAAGGAGAGGAGAGAATGGAGGAATAAAGTAGAAGCAAGTACGAGGAAGAGCAAGCAAGCAAAGTGAGCTGCGCAGACAAAAAGGAGTGGAATGAGGATTGCAGGACAAGAAGGGAATTAGGAGCGGGAGAAGAAGTGGAAGGTGGGAGTGGTAACTCGTTTTCTTGGCAGCCTTTCCCTGAGCCTCGCCAACGCTCTTCCTGTCCTCCCGTCTGTTCGCACAACCAGGGACCCGCTCTTCCCCACCAACAGGTCAGGAACAAGACAATTCCTATCCTCCTCTAATCCTCTACTCCGCTCCTACACCTCGCTTCCTTCATCTCCTCTTCCTCCTTCCCTCCTCTCTATTTCTCCTTCCCCGCTTCCTTCCTTCCCTCCTGCCCTCCCTCCCACTGCCCCTCGCTCTTCACCTCTACCCCCTCCCTCCCTGTCCCTCCGACCTTCTTCTCCTCTACCTCCTTCACGGCTTCCTGCCTGCCCTGCTAATCCGTCGACCTGCTTTCTCACGCTGACATCTCAGGACCCTCTCGTCGTCAGAAGTCACCATGACGAGCCTCGTCGACAAGGTCAACCACAAATGTTTCACGAGAATTTCTGAATTTCGTCTCCCTCCTCCTGGTCCTCCTCCTCCTCCTCCTCCCCCTGGTCCTGGTCCTCCTCCTGGTCCTGGTCCTGGTCCTGGTCCTGCTCCTCTTCCTTCTGCTACTGCTCCTCTTCCACGTCCTCCTCCTCGCAGGTTGCTGCTAGGAACGACACGTTCCTTCTAGAGCCAGCGGTCTCGACCTGGAATGTTGCCATGGTTGGATGTAACCCGTAAGCGTCCTCTATTCTCCCTCGCTCCGTCCTCTCGTTTTCAGCTTTCTACTCCAATCCTTATCCCTCCTCCACCTCTCGCCCCCCTCCTCCCCCGTCGTGCGACCACCCACTCCCTCTCCTCTTCCACTTTGACTTGCCTGCCCACCCTCACTTCCTTTACGTTCCTCGCTCTCACTTCAGCCGCCTCCTCCCTCGTCTACCTTCCTCCTCCCCTCCTCTACCTCCCTTCCCCCCTCCTCCCTGTTCTCGCCCTGCCGTCTCTGGTTTCATTGTCTCGTTCTGACCAGCTGGTGCAGCAAATGCAACTTTGTCATCCGGCTCAAAGTCAAGATCCCCAACCAGAAGGTCTGGTACGTCCCGACCTTCATAGAGGTCGCCAAGTTCAGTTGGATCCAGGTGAGAGGTTTACTTGTTCCATGACGCTTCTCTTGTCTCAGATCCCTCCTTGCACGCCTTGTTGTTCCCTTTGCACTTCAAGATGTCTTCTTAGTGCTTCTGCTGCTGCTTCTGCTGCTGCTTCTGCTTCTGCCGCTGCTTCTGCTGCTGCTGCTGCTGCTGCTGCTGCTGCTCGAGTTCTTGAACTGATCGTTCCTCAACCAGATCCTCGCAACCTGGGTCTTCCTCTACTTCTTCGTCCTCCCCTTCATTCACTTCGTGAGTTTGCTCCTTCCCTCTGCAAGATGTCCCTCACTTGCTGGCAGATTCTCGATCATCAGATCATACAATCAGTTGTCAAACACCCTCTGAAGAAGTTCCATCGAGACTGAGGGGAAAGAGATGTCGTGTAATGTATAAATGTGATGAGGTGTCGTCTTGTCTCGGATGTTTCTTGCTCAGATGTAGATAAACTTCTTTTCTTTTGTCATGCCTTTCAAGCATGAAAATATATAAAATTCAAATGATCGTACACACACCTCCAGCCCCTCCACTGCTCTGCTCTGCTCTGCTCTGCTCTGCTCTGCTCTCCTTTCCTCTGCCCTCCTCCTCCCCTCCCTCCCTCACACCCATCCCCACACCTTGATCTCCCTCTCCTCCGACCCGCTCACCACTATCCCCTCATGCACTATCACCTCATTCACTGCCCCCCGGTGCCCCTCCAGCACTTGCAAGCATTCCCACCCCGCCGCCATCCCCCACACCCTGACGCTCCCATCGTAAGAGCTCGAGAGCAGATACCTTCCCGCCGCCGCCAACCCCAGCACAGCTCCCCGATGTCCCCTCAGCACGACTGACCTTCCTCTATCGTCCCTTACTGCCTGCCACATGTCCCTCATCACCAGCCCCTCCTCTTCCTCCTCCAAGTACCACACGCGGACCTGACATTCGTCAGCGTCAGCAGCACAGTTCAAGCTGGTCCTCACCGTGGCATCATCCGAGCCCGTGAACAACATTCTCACTCCTCCTCCTCCTCCCCCTTCTCGTCCTCGTCCTCGTCCTCCTTCATCCTCATTCTCTTCATCCGCGCTCCACCTGACCTCCTCTTCTCCTCCAGCTTGCAGATCGAGCAAACCATGTCCACATCGGAGGAAGAGGATCGTTCTCACCCACCCCCCGTGGCCCTGCAGCTCTTGCATCCGCCTGTTGAAAGCCTCGTAGCGCAGGTGCACTGCTACCTTGCAATCCACTGTAGACACAAAGTAGAACCCTCCTCCACACACCACAGGCAGCGGACGAGCTTCCAGTGGTTGGGGTCTGCTCAGATTCCTCTTTCCCGCCTCCCCCCCACTCTGGTTCTTCTTCTCTCCCCCTCCTCCTCCCGTCCCCTCCTTCCCTCTCTCCTCTTCCTCCTCTCCTCCCATCGCCTTCTCCCCGTCCAGCAGCTGGACCCTGTGAAGAAACTTTCCATGGAAGATCTTCGACCCCCTCGTCGCCATCGCCCACACCTCTTCGCTGCCCCCCTCAATTCCTGCAGGCAGGAAAAAGTCCGCAGGTCCCACAATCTGATGTTGAACTTGCTGTCCATGCTGATCAACCGCGTTCCTCGGACACCCAACGACCGCACGCCTCCTCCTCCGCTCTCCATCTTGATCGTCCTCAAGCATCTCAGCCGCCTCGTTGCCTCCACCCTTCCTCCTTCTCCTCCTCCCAGCTCCTCAGTCTTCCTTCCTGCTATGGCGTTGGAGCTCTGCGCATCCTTGCTATCATGGTAATCGAGGAAGATGCGGAAGAGGAAGACGAGGATCTTTACCAGCCACACGACTAGGAGCGTCACGGCCGTGTTGAGGAACAGGAGGAGAACGATAACGACTCTCCTGCTCATCGTCTCCTCTGCCAGGGCCTGCAGCGCCTCGTGCAGCACCAGCGTCGTCAGAGTGCAAATCTGACCGACTATGATGTACACCAAGGAAGGGACACTGCTGTCCCCTCCCCTTCTACTCCTCCTTCCCTTCCTCTCCGTCTTCTTGAGGGCATCTGCCATCACCAACCCTTCTGCTCCCTGCGCCTCTCTCCTGAGAAGCCAGTTCTGCATCTGCATCCTATCTTGCAGGTCCGCAAGGAGCCTCCTCAGAGTATGGTTCGGCACCATGTTTGCTTCGCTGCCCACCTCGGTGTTCGTGCATGGGTCGCTGGAGTTCCGCTCCAGCCACTTGCGGATCGCTGCTCCCTCGTACGAGTGACCGGAGTCGACCAGCATGTAGGGGTCCTGCATGACGCATCTGGTAATGGGGCACAGGCAGGCCTCGGGAAGCTGCAACTCTGCGCTGGTCTCAGCCATAGATCGCTGCCCCCTGGCCTCAACCCAAGGACCTTCTTGTGCGCTTGCTCTTCACTGCTCTCCCCTCTCCCCTCTCCCCTCCTTCTCTGCTCTCTGCTCTCTGCTCTCTGCTCTCTGCTCTCTGCTCTCTGCTCTCCCCTCTCCCCTCCCTTCTCTGCTCTCCCTCTCCTCTCTCCTCTCTGCTCTCCCCTCTCCCCTCTCCCCTCTCCCCTCTCCTCTCTCCTCTCTGCTCTCCCCTCTCCTCTCTCCTCCTCCCCTTCCCCCGTCTCAGCTGCTTTCCTGCTCTACTTCAAGTACGAAAAGCGCTTTCACCACATCCCCGCTCAAACCCCTTTATGTCGGAGAGCGACGGGCAGTAGCGGCGGGCATGCGGGAGAGCGAAAGAGTGGCGGGAAAGGGCCAGAGAGGGGATTCAGGGAGGCTAAGGGAGGGGAGAGGCGAGGCCAAAGGCAGAAGACAAAGAACGAAGAAGGAGGGACCAAAGAGCCAGTAGGGAGGGAGGCCCTGGGGGGGTCGAGGTAGAAGCAGGGGCAGGGAGGGCAGGGAGGGCCCAGGGGCCCAGGGGAAAGGAGAGAGGGGAGAGGGGAGGAGATCCCTTCCTTCCGAGGATGATGGAGGATGAAGAGACCACAAACAGAGAGAGCTCATTACTTCCTCATGAAGCTGCCACGGGGAAGCCTCCTCCTGATCCTCTTGCCGCCTCCTTGGAGAAAGTCGGGGCTCTCTCAGTTGAGCATGCCAGGAGGATGGTGCGGAGCACGGAGACGAGCCGCAGGTCGAGAGAGGGAGGCAGCGCGTCAGCGATCATGTCTCAGCTGTCCCTGGCGTCTGAGCATGCGCGGGAGATAGTCGGTAGCATCCTCGACGGCAAGGCCATGGGCGGCGAGGAGGCCCCGTCGTTTCAACGACCGCCCCATCAGCTGTCTGACAGTCAAGCATGCGGCTCTCCGACCCCTGAGGCGGAACTTCGCCCATGCCAGGGAGGGGAAGGCGAAGCATGGCAGGATGCTGCGGGGAAGAGCTCTCCTCCGCTCAGCCCTGCACACACGAGGTACCGCATGCATGAGGCAGAAGGGAGGAGGTCGTGGGGAGATGAAAGACGAGGGAAGAAGGGAGAGGAGGATGCTAGAGCTAGGTAGAGAAAGAGTAAGGGCAGAGGAGAGGAGGACGAAGGAGACAGGAGCAAGGTGGAGCGAAGTAGCAGGAGCGCAGTGGGAGTCAAGGGGAACAGAAGGCAGGAAAGAACGAAAGAGGAGGGGGAAAGGAGAGGACAGGAGGCTGAATGTGCAGGAGGAGAGGAGAGATGAGATGTGCCCCTTGGTTCCCGTCCTCTTGACGAGCATCCCTTGCAAGCAGGATGGTCCCTGCGGAGGTGGTGGAGCAGCTGCAGAGGCAGCAGCAGCAGCGTCTTGAGGAGATGGCTGAGGGCGCGAGGCAGTTGACACGGCAGAAGGTGAAGGGAGATGGTGGAGATGTTGGAAGTCTGACAGAGGAGCAGGACAAGGAGATCAAGCAGCTCACTGAGAGCATGCAAGCGATGTTGAAGGAGGCTGCGGAGAGGGAGGAAACTGCGTTTCGGTGAGGGAGATCGAACAGGAAGAGGACGGGAAGAGAGAGGGAGGGAGGGAGGGAGGAAAGGAGGGGGGCCAAGGGGAGGGTAACGGCAGGGTAGGAGCAGGT